ACACAATTGAAGAAGGTCTTCTTAAGACCTCAGAATATCTTATAAGTGGACTCATTATGATAGAACCTAGACATTTTTATGTACACCACCATATGGACGAATATTGATTACAAATAACGCTGCCCCGACTCCGGAAACTACATTGTCGTTTTGATAAACAAACAATGTCGTTAATGTGCATATTGAAAGACCTATAAAGACGTAAGATCTATAAGGACGTAAAACCTTGTAGTTACCTTTCTGTGAGTGCCAAGCTATAATCAGATTTCCAATGTTTTCCACTGCCTTCTTTGATGCACAATTTCATTAAAAGCGGACTTAAGTCAACTTTTTGTAAGTACGCATATACCTATATCATTGGACCGTTGTATACATATACATCATCCTACGCAATTTTCTAATAAAAACTTTACTAACACTCTTTTTATTTATCTTTTTTACTACAGTTAAAAATAAGCATTCTCCTTAATTTTTACTTAGTTCGTAGAAATAATTACCAAAATATAATTCAAACCATAAATAATGGAATTTATCTGATAATTGCATGTATTATGAAAGGTACATTTCCCAAAAATTCTCATTCATAAATCTGTTAAGTGATTTGATTTGATTTGATTTGATGTGATTTGACACAGTATTATTTCCTCATCTTATCATCCAAATCAGTACCATTTTGACATGTTAAGTCACATAGAAATAACCTCGGAAAGATATTTCTACATTTTATTATAAATAAATTTAAAAAATTCAGTTAAATTAAAAAATAAAAGAAAGAAAACTTTTGTCTTCTTTCTTAGACAATTTCTAATTAGAAATATGTCAGGTTTGTAGAACTCAAAAACTCAGAAACTCAGAAACTCATTAGCCTACATGAATTTTACAGTCTTCAATACTTCTACCTCAAGTTGAGTTGGAATGATTCCATTCCGAAGCGCATAACTTGTTGCATATTTGGGTATGATTTTCATAGTTACCAAGCAACAGTTGGGGTAGGTATGCGTCGCACTACAGCGCTACGCTCTTGCACACGCAGATTAGGTGGGTGTTACTGGGGTTAAGTGATTTATACTCGCTTTTCGTATCGGCAGGCAAAAAAGCCACCGATTGAGTTGCGTTGAAAAAATGCGTTATCAGTGAATGTTTGGACTGCGCTAATTCGTTTTTCATTTTCTATATAAAAGGATGTGTCTTGTTCCACGGTGTAACCATTCGTCAGATAGTTCGGGAGCTGTGAGTTGTTTAGTAGCGCATCAAGTGTTCTATTAGTTACAGTTATATAAAAGTGAAAGTTATTTTAAAATTATTATTCGAAACTTTTTTAAGGTAAATGCCATTAATGAATGTTTTGGAGTTTTTAAGGAAATATATTAATAATGTATGAAATATATTAAATTTTTATAATCACAACGTACATTCAATTACTAAGTAATAAACTATATAAATAGATCCATTAGAAATATAAATAATTTATTACTTCTAATTTGTTTTTAAATGAAGAAAAATATTTACATTTTGGCGAAATAATTGTTTTATTTCGAAATTATTAACTATTTAATAAAAATATTTATTTATTTATAGATATAATAATGAAAAAAACTTAATTCAGTGAACTAAATAATGAATAATTGTTAATGCATCTATTGTTTATATTTATGCATTAAATTATATATTTAAATTACGAACACGTTTTTAAATTTTAAATTTTAATTACAGCAAATATAATATAATATGATACTCATTTATATAGAATACTATAAACAATAATAAAATAAAATAAATGGAACCATAATAGATTTTATGGTAAATAATATAAATATATAATAAAATAATATCATTTATTTTAAAAGAAATACCATTAATTTCAAATAACTTCATTATAAACGAGCTTACTTATTTGTCCAGATTTTTATGTTTCAATAAAATACAATTACCGACAAAAACATTTCTTAATATTCAAAAGATATAAGATATCATTAGATAATTAAATAATTAATAATCAACTTTTAATTTAATTCATATAAAATAGATTACGAAGTCGGTTTATGAAATAAATTCAAGTAAGCTCAACAAAGATCCCTTTTTGTACATTTTATACACTAAGTAAATACAAATAAAACTATAAACAATAATATAATATATCAAAATGTGCTTTTTTTAACCTACTAAAACCATTTCTTGAATAGAATAGAAATGAATAGAAATCATTTTCACCTCTGCGCCAAAGGACAGTCTAGAAATCACATTCCAGTAATTGGAAGAGCAAATTGAGATTCAGAGACTTAATACCTAACCCAAATTAAAATTTGCCACCTTACAGCACTAAAAATGTCTAAAAAAATTTCTTCAAAAATATATTTATTGAATAGGCGTGTAAAAAGTTTAAAAAGTTGTAAACTGATTCATATAGAGTTTTTAGTTATATCTCCATATATCTCCATTTGTCATTCTTTTCATTGAGACTTTAACTAGTTTTACAAGGAATGTGAAATCTATCTATCTATCTATCCAATCAAGAAAGATTATAACACCTTTTACTTCACCTACTTGTCTTAACTAGATTGTTTTGCAGATAACTTTGTAAATAAATAGTTTCTAAATAATTATTGTACAGTAAGTTGTTATTTTTGTTATTTCTGAATATAAGTTTTACTATTTTTTTGTCTAAAGAAGTCATCTTTATAACATATGTATCTAGTTTAAAAACATTGTACGCTAGTTATAATCTCTAAACTAATACATGAGAATTTCATGAAATATTTCTTTGACACTGTTGGTTGGTTGCAGTGGCAGAACATTAGATAACTTCCATGTTCCATGTAACTTTCATGTAAGGATTATGAGGAATGCGAAATTTCTCTGCTTTGGGTGCTATACACCAATGACCACAAAGAACTGCAGTGTTCACGCTATCTGTTTTGACGATACTGTAATATATCAGTATTTTTCAGGTATATACTGAAGCGCCTAGCAATTCTAATCAATTTTTTACATGGGTTTTTTGCTCAACTGATAATGTCAATTATGTTCCTTGTTGTTCTTAGTTGTTGTTATGTTGTTTTTTTTTATATTATAGTATTGAATCCAATATTAACTGCTAATAATATTATCAATGTTTTTCAACTAAATTACTATATGCAATACCCGATGGACGGCAAATGCCATAATCGTATAAGGATAAAATTAGATATTATGTAAATGAAGTTAGGTTTTTCTTATTAGTTTTCTTATAATTATTTATAATATTTATGTTTTATATATTATAAATTATTGAAAATGTTAATTTTGTAAATGTAAATATAACCTAAATTTAATAAAAAAGAAATACTACTACTACTACTATATGCAATTGGTACTACAGTAATTAATTCTTTAAATGTTATTAATTACCATAGGTAGAATATACCTAAGAGAGGTAGGCAAAATCAATGCGCAGTCGATAGATGACTTTACTTAGGAGACTATATATTTGGAATTATCCATGCCCACAAATTCTCGTTTTCAATAAAAAGCTCTAGCCGAATGTAGTTATCCGCTACTCGTTGCCTATATTTATTTAATAGGATATGAACTGCAGGTTTTATCCTATTTGATACAAAGTTTACTTTGTAGAAAACTGTCTGACTCAAAAACTTTTCCTATAATGTCGATGTTAACCTAATATTATATATATATATTGGAGATATTTAGTATCATCTCCATATTGTTTTTTCTCGATATGAATTTGACAATTATTAAAAACTTATATTTATAAATTTATTTTTTTTTATATAAAATATTGCTTTTTATTACGTTAATATATTTTGAGACTGTTAACCTCGTGAACTTAAAGAATTAAAAAAATTTTAATTTAAATTTTTTCCCATCTAAATTTATATACATACTTATGAGCTCACATAGACTTATTACTATATTTGTATATTCGAAATGGCAGCTGAACTTAAAACAAAACAAAAAGTATAAATAAAGAAACCTTATAAAATTTAATAATATTTCATATGAATTGAAATGAAAATTTTTTACATGCTTACGAACCCCTATTCAGTTGGGGGGGAGTTGCACAAGGATATATTTTCTTCAAATATGTTTATTATGCAAACATGTAAACAAAAACCAACATTAAAGCATTTCAATGAAATTTCATTTCCATACACAGACTACGTTCATCAGCTCCAAAATGAACTCGACAATGCGTTATGGTTTGGTGTTGCTGATTGCCTTGGCTATGTTAACAGCTAATATCGCTGCAGCAAACTCCCGACCACCAAGGAATAATGACATTAGCAACATGGCTGATGCACTCAAATACTTGCAAGACTTGGACTCATATTACGGCGATAGGGCAAGAGTCAGGTAAGCCCAGACTTATTCATATACATAAGATATAATAATAAGTGACCATATTTAATATTTAATATTTAATTAATATTTATTAATATTTATATATAAATATTATAAATATATTTATATTATTATATAAATATAAAAATTTTTATGAACTTTACATGTTAACAGATTCGGAAAGCGCACTTCTCTAATACAACTTTTGCGTAGTCATTTGCTGGATAACTCGGAAATGGTATGAAGATGCTTAACATATATTTTTAGATATTAAATTGTACTATTTTGCTTCTAAGGCTCATGCTGCTGAGTTGCCGGCTGCAGAAGAACCGTTTTAAATCATTTAAATCAGCCACGAATTTCCGAATTTCTACCACATTTAGTACCAGCCGAAAACAGTATTTGAAATGTATCGTGTAAATATTGTGTGAAGAGCATATAAAATACATAAAATATTAAATTAATACTTAAAAATAACTAAACATAAATGAAATCTTTTGGGGCACACTCAATGAGGTTGTAACTCTCAGCATATGTATAATAATTAACCAATATTATATGTAATCTCTTTAATATTTAAATAAACTATTCCTATAAATTATTTATTCTTAAATATTAATTAAAAAAGTTATAAATTCAATAAAAGCAATTTGTTGCATGACAACATAAACACATGAAATAGTTTTTTATTAACATAATCTTATTATATTTTATTAATAATTCACTTACAAATAAGTATATATACTCATATTTATCTCTCATTTCCAACCTTTAAATAACTTTCACATAATAGATAAATAGCATCTATTTAATTGGCAGGAAGCGCAGTAGCACACCGCAGGCTAGAGAATAATAGACAATACAAAGTTATAAAAAATTTTAAAAAAACCAAAGCTACTTCAAATACCTAACATAACACAAGTAAATATAGCGAAAGTGGTATTACAGAGTGGTTCCAACATTGCACCTATCAGATTTGTAGCAATCATTATGCCAAGTCGGCCAAATGTTAAGCAAATAGCAACCGCTTTAGCCCTATTGAAAAAAGGTTTAAATTTACGAATATTTAAATAGTTTTATATTACCTTAAATGTGTGGGTACTAGCTCCACAACAGTTGCCAGCATCACAGATATTGACAAGCCGGGAAGAATTATATAAAAACAAAACACTACCAGCAGCAAAATTTTGTTCGAGACAAAATGCAGTAGAACTCCACTGATAAAGCCAATAATGAGTGTAGTATAAATAACAATTTTGTTACCAAAAACTTTTAATAGTGGTCCTTGAAGTATAAAACCAATTAAAAAAACGCAACCTACGATTATATTATCGACATAGGTTTTCACTGCTATGGTATCATCACAAGCCTGGTAAAAATTATAAATAAATTATTTTCATAGAAATATAAATTTCTGATAATGAAATGTAATAATAAAATATAAATAGCTTTAATGAAGTGACTGTATACATATTTTAGAAAATAGGTATATGGAGAAACAAGTACCAGTAGCATCACAACAAGCCTACTTCTAAGTAATACTACAAAAAATATGGGTACCCCAATTTCGAAACGAGAAACTGTCTTCTCTTTTTAGTAATATTTGAAAGCTTTTAATATACACATTAGATATGTCAGATAAGCATTTAAAGAAGTGCCTATAGAGAGTGAAGCACATTCACTCTATAGACATCCGACATTGACAGAACTGATGAGTAACATTTTTCTATTATTTCTGTTACCAACAACTTCGATGTTGATATGTTGATATTCAGATGTCTGAGTTGGTGAATCACCACCTTTACTCTATTTTATCTGTGGACAGTTTTAAGTCACACTAAGAATAACTGAATACGGGGCTTTATAATATGATGGATCTGATGTCTTTGTATCTGCCTGTGTTTATCAGATTTCGTTGTATTTTTAGCTTGCTGAGTGTTAGATTATTGTGATTGTCAATTATATTGAACAGTTTTAGTGCACGATCTTTAATATATTTTTCGACTGAATCGACTCTCAGATCTCTGTGGATATCCGCTCCTCTTACGTACCATGGGGCGTTAACCAGTTTTCTACGATAGTAGTACAATAGTTGAATAGTGTTCTGTTCGTAAAACAACTATATTTGACAGCAGGACAAGTCAAGACAAAGTATGCCAACATGTGATGTAATTCATATTATATAAAACTGTGTGCGATGTCTGATCAAACCATCGACCACACCAGAAATTTTCCAATAACCCAAAGCGTATTTCGTTTTAAATAGTGAATATTCCAACTCATTCAAACGTATAAGACATTTAAATGCTATTCATTTGAGGAAAATAAACATTTTTATATATAAAAATTATTAGAAAAGAAATAAATAAATACTTTAAAAATAAATATTAGTACAAATTTTTTAAATATACGGTTTTGCATTACTAGCACCGTTTAGATTTGATAGCTTTGTCAACATCTAATATATATGCATAAAATCTATTTCATGTAAAGTGTTATTGTTATATTATGTGAATAATTATTTTAATAAAATTATATTAAATTCATAAGCAACTCACCACATCATTACTGCTCAGATTTGCAGCAAGCGACTGCTGTTTAAAAGATGCATCGAGAACTTCGCATACAGTCGATACATTGCCTTCAGTTTGCATAGAGGTACGATTTGCAATTTCTGGAAACCACATTTGCATACCAGAAGAACTAGAAATATATGCATTTATGACAATATTTCTTTATTTTTGTTTTATGAATATTAAAACTGTGTTCTAATGATAATATTTTTGGTACCCACCAAAAAAATAAACCGAGCACAACTACGATACTTATAAGAAAATTCTTTCTATGTGGTTTATGTCCTAAAGGTAATGTTGCCTTCCATATAGAAACAAATATACCGCAACCATTTCTTGTACTGAGCACATCCTCTGCAGCGGAAAGTTCAGGCTTTAATTTGTAATCGCGATTTTCTAATAAGCTTGTAACTGTGCAATGTTTGTTAAATTTGCAAATCCAATTTATAGCTTCTTCAGCTTCCTTCTCTTTCTGTTGTGCCAATAACAGTTTAGGGCTTTCCGGATATATGAGCAGCAAAAGTGCTGCTATAAAACCAGGTAAAGCACTAAAAAGCATTATTAAGCGCCAAGGACGAAAAACAAAGCCATCGAATATGGCTAATGACCAATTATGATGAAGCACCAACCACGAGACAGCTGCATTAAAAACAAGCACAATATTACAATTCATTCAAAAGAAAACTTTATATAAAGATTTTATTTCTAAGTATATACAAATGCACTTTACCAGGCACATAAATACCAGCAATGCTGACAAACATGTTTGAATAATTAATTACAATTGCGCGATATTTATTCACATTAAACTCGCTAAGGTAGGCATACATAGAGGCAGAAACGCCACCAATACTGAAACAAACAATTGAAAAAAAATAAAACAATTGAATTGATTTACAATTTAATGAACCAAGAAATTACTTTATTCCAATGAAGAAGTTCACCACATTAAATGCCCAAACATTGGTAATAAACATTGTTAAGATCTCCAGAAAGTTTGTCAGAAATAAGGCATAGAGCAATACTCTACGTCTACCGAAAGCATCGCATACGTAACCCCATAAATATGTGGATACAAATATACCTTAAATATAGTTATAAACGTTTAAAAAATTCATTAAAAATTCTTTGCTAAAAAAATCTGGTGTTAACCCACCTGCAACACACGCTGCCAACATGATTCCCTTCTCCGATTGATTCGTATTGAATTCACATTGCGAAGCTATGACAATGATGCCAACACTCTGTTGAGCCGAGATTGAATTTAAGATCATCAAGCCACTGATAAACAATAGAAGCCACTGTGTCTTGCCAAAACCTGCAATCACTTACTGATTTTATATATATTAAAAAAAAAATAAACTGCTAATAACAACCAATTTTCTCCAAAATTTCCTCATATTCCACTTCATTACGAACTTCATTGAACTCCATCGCAACTGCTTTATTTGTGGACTGCTCATTGGGTGCACTATCTGAAAACCGCATTTTTAATCTACAAATGGTCCAAAAGCTGTAGGTTCACTCTTGCTTGCTTCTGCGTAGTTCAGCGATTAAATGAGAATTAAACTCAATAAGCATTTTTGCAATAATTTATATAGTTTTATGCTAATTAATAGAATAATATTAAGTTTTTACTCTCTGAATAAATTGATTTGAAACAAAATCTCAATAAATCTATTTACATTTTTTATAAATCTGTTACTGCTTAGTAGTATGTGATATAAATTGAAAAAGCTATTAACAAATTTATTCAAAATTTAATTTTTATTAAATAAATAAATTTTTTCACAGTGTATGTTGCCCAGGCATTCGAAAAGTAAAAGAATTATTTATTTTATAATAATTTTGTTAAACAATAAATAAGTATTGAATGTTATACAGAAACACAATATGGGTTAATGACTTCTGCCAAAAATAATTATTTACAATATAATGATAATTTTTTATAGTAATAATTATTTACAGTAACAATTATGCATAATTATAAATATTTTTAATAACAATAATTATTTATAGTAATAAATATTTACAACAATAATAATTTATAGTAATAATTATTTGCAACAATAATTATTTACAATAATAATTATTTATAATAAAATTATCTCAAAGCAGTAATTGAAAGCGCTCTAATCAGGTTTTTAACAACCAAATTACTTTATGTATCTACTAAAAACTGATTTAGTCTCCCATAATGTTTTAAAATTTCTTTGAATAGAGTTAGTACGATTACATCTAACTTTCAACGAAAAATACTTATATCTGCTAGATGCCATCATGAAATATACTGCATTGCTAAACAAATCATGTTTTGCAAATATAATCAAAAATAAAACAATTTAAAACAAAACTCCTACATATATCTTATAGGACAAAAACATTTTCTAATTTTTGTTTTATGTATACATATGATAACTACTATAAGAATATTACAGTATCTATGCATAAAAAAAAAGGAACAAAACAGGACGCCAAAACTACCGAGACCTATTACTGCTCACCATCGGTTAATAAATATTCATAAACATGCTATCTCTCAAATATCTCAGCATTTTTTTCGATAAAAAATTTTAAATTATTGACAATAGGATTCTCATTCAAATATACCTTGTGATCAAAAAAGAACTTATTCACGGGAACTGTGATTCCCGCGCTTATCGAATCGGCAAATTTTTTTATTTTCACGCTGGCAACACTGTTATACACATTCTGTCGAAGTTTAACGAATATCGTACAATTAGTTTTTGTTTGGCGTCTATACAAAGAAGTCGAAAAATTTTCGCGTGACGATTTTTACCTTATGGCCTCTATGATCTCAAAACGCGTTCCTCGCAATTGCAATTTGAGTCGGAGGAAGAGGAAAAAGTCACACGGTGCCATATCTGGAGAGTACGGTGCTTGGTTGATGATATTGGTGGAGTGTTTGGTCAAAAACTGCGGCTTTTTTTGAATAAAATAAAAAAAAATCTACCGATTGGATAAGCGCGAGAATTCAAAAATAGGCCTCTCGTTCTTTTTTTATCAGAAGGTATCATTTACTGATTTTTTCATTTCGCTCAGCTAAATTTTAAAAACTTTTACTACAACAAGCTTCGATTGAATGGATGTACCTAAACATTAAGTATATTCCAAAGAAACGTACCGACTTTTTCGAAACTATTTTCGATCATTATATTTCGAGTATATAATGAGAAAAATCAAAAGAGAAAAAAGTCAATATGCCTGCATAGTAGATAATTTCTCCTTTGAAACTGTCATATTTACTCTGATAAAGCAAAGAAGTCCTCCAATATTTTCCCACAATGCTCAGGATCATTATTATGATTTAGTGAACTATTTTGGAATTCCTCTTAACTAAAGATTATCTCGGAAAAATAAAATGAGCATCAAACTGATATAATTTTATTTGAAAAACCATGCCATTCACTGCAAATTTATTTCTGTTCAATTGTACTAAACTATACCGATCTAGTTCCAATCTCCACTCCATCCAAAATACTCGTTTTTTTTTTTAATTAAGGTTTATGACTCAATTTCGGTTGAAAAATATATATTGCTTATTGGAAAAACTACCACAATTTCAAGCGAGAAGAAGAACGAGAGGCTTCATAAAAGCATATTAAAAACTTTGAATATATTATATGCAATTCTGGAGCATGGCGACCAAATCAATATATTGATTTTGAAAACTTGATATATAGTATACTCGTATAATATAAACAAACCATTATCTAGATTTAAATATAATATACAATATTATATTAAATGTATTTAAATTATAAATGAAAATACCATAATCAATGAGATGTAAATTTAAAAAACAATCATCCAATATACGACATAGGGATCTTCAAGATATTGTTAATATTTCACTTAGGTTAAGCACAAAATACCTGGCCATCAAACTAATGCAAACTCTTGTTTTCATTACATGTCTCAATCGTGCAATCATAACATAAAGGGAATGAGAATTTTTGCTTTATTTAGTGTGCATACAATTCTTTCTTTATCCATCTGGAATTGATTGGTCTATACACTTTTTCCCTAAAGACTTCATGTAGTCGTACATTGTTGTGCCCTGATACCGAGATAATGTTGATTTGATGCTGTTGTGCTATCTCTAATATTTCTAATATCCATTGTGCTGCATCGTCTATTGCAAGAGTTTCGGATTAAAAGATTCTGCCTTCTAATCTAAAGAAAATATGAGTAAACTTCTAAAAAGCTCATTCAAATGATGAATTGCATTTGAAATACAAATATTTTTGCTTAATGAGGTTAAATCTTAATATTTTGTTTAGATAGCTACCATTAAAAGAATCACTATCAAAATAATTCAGAAAAAATAAGTATAATGATATTAAGCCACGCAATTCTGTTCTACTAAAAAATAATTGTCTTTTAACAAATATTTTTACACACACAATAAACGTTTATAATTTATGAGTGCATTGCACTCTCTTTATTTTTTAACTTAATTATAAATTTGTTAACATTATAAAAAATTTAATTGTAATACTTAAATTAAAGAGTTTGCTATTAAAAAACGAATAATGATGTTCATATGGGCAGAACCAGCGTTAGTGCTGCACACACTAAAAGCAAAGGGAAACTTATTGTAAATGTACACATTTCTCAAAGACAAAGTTTTAATACATACATAGTACACAGCCAGTGAATAAACTAAAAGTCAAGTCACAATATGACTCGAGAAGGGCCCCGATAATGTTGCTGCCAATGACGCTGCCGGAACGTCCCAACATTAAACAAATGCAAACCGCTTTACCCCTAAAGTATGCAATAATAAATCGGTCTTATCAAAACTGTTACTAATAAGAACTTATTTACCTCAAATGTGTGGGCACCAAATCCACCACAGCGCCACTCAATACTGAAATGCATAAGCCAGGCAACATTAAAAACAAACAAAAGACCACAACAATGCTGATGGGCTGAACTAGCCAATTTAACGCAATACCACACAAACCGGATAAACATAAGGCACCAATCATCACACCTTTTCTGCCAATAGGGTTTATGATGATGCCCAGTATTATATAGCCAGCAACGTACGTTAAGCCATATGTAATAGAATCTATATAACTTTTTGTGTTGATAGTATCATCACATAACTAAAATAAAATTTTTCATTATATTTACAATAAATTCAGTTATACCATAATATATTATGTCTATTCTCGTGTACTTACAGTTTCGTTGCCAATTCTCGATTTCTTTTCTATTGACGCATCAATGACTTTACAAACAGTTAATTCTTCATTTGTTCCACCCACACGATTTTGTATCTCAGGATACCACAGACCCATACCAGTAGAGCTGTAATCATTTAATCATTAAATTGTGGAAATAATTGAGAATAATTAGAGTATACCTTAAGAAAACGCCACACATGACGACACAGGAGATGATAAAATTTAGGACATGTGGCCGTTTAAAAAGTGGCTTCGTTTCCCTCCACATCTTTTTAAATGCAGTTAAACTGAGGAGTTAAAAAATTATTGAAGATAAAGAAAAAAAATAAATAAGAATGATTTTAACTTAAATTTACTTACGCTGATTTACTTATGATCAGTACATTTTCTTGTATCGGCTGTGATTCTGTTTTTAAATGAAAAACTTTTAGATCCGATAATGGACGCCCAGTGTTACGCCTGCAGATCCAATTGATTGCATTTAAAGCTTCTTCTTCTTTACTTAACGCAAGCAACATTTTTGGACTTTCTGGTAATTGAGTCAAAACCAAAGATGCTATGAAGCCAGGCAACAAATTAAATAGGATTAAAATACGCCAAGGTCGGAAATCAAAATCATCAGTTATGTGTAATGTCCAGTCCATTGATAGAACTAACCATGCAACAGCTGCAATAATTAATCATTGTAAATTTTCAATTTATTAAAATTTCTAATAAAAATTTTTAATTTAAAATACATGGGCTTTTGACATCTGTGCAAAATTTCAAGTTTTTTTTATATTTATCCAATAGTTCCTCCAATAGAGAGGATTTGTTGAACAAAGACTACGGACTAAATTTTATGTGTGTAATAAAAATTTCGCTAGAGCAATAGGACTTTGGTAACCGGTCTATGTCTCAAAAATAAAGTTTCCAAGTGGTATAAGCAATTCAAAGGAGACAGAAAACGTTTAAAGGCAGAACATCAAGTCGAGAAAGACTTAATACTTAAAAAATTTAGATTGACATTTAGAGACCTCGACACTGTTCACATTTCAATTGAATCGTTTCATACCATTTTGAACATGGTCTTGTGTCAAAAAAGAGTGAAATCTCGTTTGGTTCCAAAAACACTACTATTAGGAAAAATAACGTCGCTTTGAAGTCTATTAAACAAAGCTTTTTGACAAGAAAAAAAAAGTAAGAGAAAATGTATGATAACTGGAGATAAGACTTGGATCTATGCAAACGTCCCAGAATCAATGGACCCGTCAAGCGAGCACCATGCAAAAAATAGCCAACCCCAAAAAGATTGCCTTAAAATCGTTCAAGAATCAAGATCAAGTTTTCTTCGATTATCATGGTATGACACATTATGAATCATTTTTGCACTATGCAGCATTTACGATAAGCTATTCGCAAAATAGGACCAGGTTATGATCAGTAACTTTTGATTTTTGCACTAAAATAGTGTACCACACCACACTGCATAGGTTCTTCGAGACAAATCTTGAACTGTATTGTATCAAGAGAGAAGTACATGGTGTGGATTAGATCAGGATGCAAAGGTGTGGATTAGAAGAATAAACGATTCTATGCCATTTTAAAAATTTTAAACCATTTCACTTTATTTTTTTATCAAAATGGTAGAGAGCAATTTCATTTCTTGAGTAGTAATACCGAATCGATCTTCTAAGATTTTATGTAAATTAATTTAAAAAAATACTTTTCTCTGAAATAAGACTAATATATAAAACACACTCAATTTCAACAAAAATGCTAAAATATTTAATGTAATATTATCTTCTCAGGAACAAACTATTTCCGTATATATATTTATCACAATTGTGCATATTTATTTTCATAAACATTTAATTATGTAAAACTATAAGTAGAAATATTGTATAATAAAAATATTAAAATATTATTAACTTATGAATATTTACCAGGGACGTAGGCCATTGAAATTCCTACAAACATGCTGGCGTAATTAATTACCACTGGCCTATGACGTGCTATGAAAAACTCACCCAGGTATGCATAAGTGGTTGATGAGGCACCTGCAATACTAGAAAAAGAATGAAATATGTATTCTATAATATACTTTCAATATGGGTGTTATAGAAAAATGTTTATATGACAAGGTCTAAATGTGTGTGATACGTACATCATACGTAAGATAAATAATTTTTTCATCTACCTCCTTAAAACAAGAATTTTGTTTAAAGAGTATTTATCTTCTAAAATTATTTTCATTTGAATAATTTTTGTTATACCTAGAAGATATTTATTATTGCTAATTTTTATAATGACTCTAGTGAAATAATTCTTCTGCAGCTACCCAACTGTAGACACTTCTCACAAAGAACTGTCCGTTCTTTAAGGAATCCACAATAGGATTAAAAGAAGATAAAAATGATTTTAATATTGATAATATTTATATATGGTTTTAAAGAAATTTGTAAATGCTATTAATAGGAGCATTGGTTATTATTCCATTTATTTCTAAGATATAAGAATATATATTATGCTCTATAGCTAGTAGCTGAGAGCTGTTGGTGTGCGTAAGAGAAGTGGTGGGGTTTTATTTATAACTGACTCTTTTTTAAAGTGAATTTAATTGAAACATGAACATTTTTGCATGGTTATGATAAAGAGTTTATGATGACTTGCGTAAAGACTTGCGTAAATAATATTAATGATTAGTTTTAGTTCAATATAAATTATGCATATATATAAAATTATTTTTACTTACAAAATACCAACCAAAAACCTTGTTGCCACAAAAGCCCAAAAGCTCGGTATAAACATTGAAACAATTGAGAAAACATTTCCAGTTAAGGAGGCGTATATAAGTATAAGACGGCGCCCAACTGTATCGCTCAAATAACCCCAAAAATATGAGGACAATAATATGCCTGAAATTTAAAATTTATTATTTATTTAAGTAAATAATTAAATACACATTTATAATATTTAATTATTAAGGAATTAACAATTTAAATTAGTTTAAATATTTTAAAAACCAGAGCAAACATCTAAGTTGTAGAAATTGTTAAAATTTATTTTTAAAATACTTTTTGAGAAACTGCGTATCTACAAAGTTAAGATAACTCACTTTTATTGTAAATGCATGAATACGTCATTTATTATATACTTAGAGCAATGTATATATAACGCATTATAAACAATAAAATATTAATTAAAATATTTGTTTGCAGTTTATATAAAACAGATAACATTTGCGACCAGATATGCGATTATTTGCATAATTTTTAATAAATTAAATTAAATTAATTTAGGTTAATTTAGTTTAATCATTAACGGGCAGATTGATATATATCACTTCTTTAATTAAATTATTAGTAAAATTTATTTTAATATTAAAAATTAATAATATAAATTAATTGATATTATTGGTTTATCTCATAAG